GCGTAATTAGCGCCCGTGCGTCCCGTGCGCTGCCGGGGAATTACCGGGCGGGAGGCAGGCTCGGTACAATCCCGTCCTTTCCTACGGGAGACCTCCGCTGCCATCATTCCTGCTGCGGAACGGAGCGTGGGAAGGAGCGCGGAATGAGCAAAGCTTTAAATAAATATAAAAACATATAAATATAATATAAACATAAATATAAATATATGCTGCACCTGATAGCCACGCTGTCCATCACCGAAATATCGGCGGGGAAAGCCGCGCTGCCAGCGCCATAAATCAGCTCAGTGTTATAAATCAGTTCAGTGTTATAAATCAGCTCTGGGTTTGTTATAAATCACTTCTGTGCCGACCTTGGGAGCCTTTGCATCACCGCAGCGCTGGTGGATGATGCGCTCCGCGGATCGATCGCTGCTCCGGCACATCTCTCCCAGCTCCGGGCTCCCTGGCGTTGTTTCCCTCTCTGCAGCCCGGCCTGTCCCCGCTCCGTGTCCCCAGGGCAGTGTGGCACCCATGGGCCATGCCCACCTGTCCAGTTTAACCCTCTTCTCTTCCTTCTCTGCATCTATTTCACCCTCCAGAACAGCAGCTCTGTACCCACCAGTAGTATCAAGACGTATTTTGAGGTTCTGGCTTGAATCCCATGTGGTTTAGATCATGTTCATTTTAGGGGTGATGCTCTTCCAGGTGTCAGAAACTCCTCAGTCCCTCCCAGTGACATGCTGGAAAATACACATGGATATGTATGGACATGTAATAGAGTTATTTATTGCCAGCTGGATTGTTTTATAACACCTTCTTAAAATCATAGCTGGAAGTGAACCTGATCCTCAGAGCTATGGAAAAAGCTTTAATAAATCTTTGCATAATTAGAAGCAAAATTCTTGCACAGCTGGCCTTGGATTTGTGCCACCTGGGTTCTTAGGGGGGATTATTGCAAACTGATACCTGATGGAGGCACAGAATCTGTCTCCTGCAGGAGTGTATCCATAAACCCCTGAGTGCAGAATGAGCTGTTTTACAGGATATTCTGCTGTTACCTCAGCCGTGCTCTGTGAGCAGGGGGGCTGTGCAGAGCAGCTCAGAGCTTTCACTTTCCCCTGGCCAGAGAAGCCCAGAATAAACAGCAAAGCCCTTGGAGGTCTCAGTGGAGCTTAGGGATTAGCAGCACAGTCCCTTGTCCTCTGAAGCACATCCTTCAGTAGCAGCAAACAAATTGTTGGATTTTTTCCCTTTTTTCCCTGGTTTGGTTGTTTTTTTTTTTTTCCATCAGCTTTTTCTCCCAACTGCTCTGAATATGGACCAAAGGTTGGTGTTCAATCAGAGAGATTTTTTTCAAATCTCTCCTGCAGAGAGGACTTCAGGCATGTTTCTGTTTCACAAGCATGAGCAGTGTGCCTGTTTGATTCAGGAATTAATTGGGACTTTGCTTTTCCATTTTGCACTTCACATTCCATCTTACAAAGCCTTACTCCATCTTACTGGACTAACTCATCCAATCCAACATCAGAGTCTCTGCTCTGGGGTTAGTTGGTAATGGAATGGTTAATTTGGGGTTTTTTTTGCAAAAGAGACTTCCCTGAAGAAATGAAATCCAGAGATGAAATCCCAGAGATGAAATCACAGAATCATAGAATTCTAGAATTGGGTTGGAAAGGGTATTAAAGATGACCCAGTCCCATGGGCAGGGACACTTCCAGTATCCCAGATTGCTCCCAGCCCCATCCAGCCTGACCTGGAACACTCCCAGGGATGACAAAGAAAGCCAGGAACCTTTAACAAAGGAAAAAAAAAAAAAGATTATTTGCGACCTGTTCTGTCATTATAGAAGTGAGGAAAAAAGCTCTACTGGGAGCTGTAAATTGCTCTCAGGAGGAAGCACAGAGCCCAGGTGCACTTTAAACTCTGGCAATCCAGCTCAGGGTAACAGGATGAAGCTCTGCTGAGTCACAGAAATGTTTCTTCCTGAGGTTGCTTGAACAGATCCTAATGAGAAATGTGGGTTTCAGGATATCTAGGATAATATGTTGAAAATATTGGGAGACTGAGAGATTCCTACCAGCCCTTGTTGAGGAGAAAAAACAATGGAGATGGGGAGTTTTAAAGTAGGAAACTTGATGGGAATGTGCCAGGTTAGTTGTGCGTGGGATTAAGAAGATGAGCTTAAGTGATTAATTTATTTTTATCTGGCTGTGTGGCCTCCTGAGCACAGCCTTCATTCTGGCACCAGTCAGCAGCCCTTCTGTGTGCAGGGCTAATCTGAGGCTCTACCTAGCTAAGAAACAACTTGGAAACTCTTTTCCAACCTAGTCTTTAAAAATCTGGAGTTTTGCATCTCCAGACCCCTTTGAGCAAACTGAAGTAGATGTAGCTGCTGGTTTGGTTTGCTGTGAAAAACGCCAATCACTTGTTTTTAAATTTTTAAAAGTTTAGTAGTAATAAAATGGTTATAAAAATAGTAATATGATTAGAGTAATAATAATTTGGACAATTTGGATTAGGACAATAAGAACAAAAACAAAGAGTTATGGATGTCCAGGTACATTTATTGGGCAAAATAAGCCCAAAAAAGGCCCCACGTTAACAGAGGATTAACCCTTAAAAGCAGCAACCTGTTGTATATTCATACACCTCATCCATGATGCATAAATTCCATTCAAACACAGGATTCTGTCTGGGCAGTGTCAGATTCTTCCTCTGAATCCTGACGGCATCTTCAGGGCTGAGCAAAGCAGGAAGAAATTCGTTTCTTCTGATAAGGGAGCAATAAATTCTCTTTTTCTGAAAAATTGAGGTGTCCTGTGGCTGCTGTCTCAGTGCAAGTCCTTTCTTTAAAAAAAGTATCCTACATAGCATAGTTTCTACTTTAACATTATGTTATAACCTAAAACTATATTTAACACATTACTTAAGAAAATTAATACAGCATCACTTCCTGACATAACACATATGATATTCATTTGAATATTTGCAAAAAGCCAGACATAAAATACCCATTTTTCACATTTGCCATAGTCACAATCTGTAATTTAGCAGCACAGAGGGGCAGGTGGCCATGGGGTGTCTGTTTGGGGCTTGAGAACCCTTTGCTGCTGAAATTTGTCACAATTCCTTGGGAGCAGTGCTGCCATTTCCCAGCCTCCTCTCATCATTCTCTGGCTGTTTCTCATGCACATGAGCATGTTGGGTCCTGCTCTTACTCAGGCACGCTTTCGATGTGGCAGATTTGTGTTTTGTTCTCATTTCTCCTACCTGAGCTGCACCATCATCAGGAGCTGTTATCACCCCACATTCTGACCCAGCAGAGTCTCCTTGCTCAGCTCTGCTCTGGGATGTAGGAATGTGTCTCCTGTTAATGGAGTGACCAAACTGTCCTTGGTGTCCTTAAAAAGGAAAAAAGCCCAGAAGTTTCTTGTGACCGTGTTCACAGGGGTCCCAGGATGAAGGAAGAGATGAGGATCTGACTCCATGTTTAGAAGGCTTATTATTTTATGATATATATTATTAAAACTATACTAAAAGAACAGAAGAAAAGATTTCATCAGAGGGCTGGCTAAGAATAGAAAAAGGTATGATAACAAAGGTTTGTGGCTGACTGAGACAGTTCAAGCCAGCTGACTGTGATTGGCCATTAATTAGAAACAACCACATGAGACCAATCCCAGATGCACCTGTTGCATTCCACAGCAGCAGATAATCATTGTTTGCATTTTGTTCCTGAGGCCTCTTAGCTTCTCAGGAGAAAAATCCTAAGTAAAGGATTTTTCATAAAACATGTCTGTGACAGGCCATAAGGATGTATTTCCATGCTTCTTATTGTGGGAAAAGTGTTGGGGAAGATGGAATAGGAAAGCCTTGTAAATATGATTGCCTGGCAAAAGATTTGGAGAATATGGAAACTATAAGTGAGATTGAAATGAAAGCAAGCTTTGAGATACCTCAGTTACTGAGCAACTGGAAAACAATGGTGTGGCTGCTGAAGGTGATCCCCTTTTGATGGAACAACACCCTCTGCTTGCAGACAGGCCCAAGGGTCAGAGCAGACCCTGCCAGCCTGGCAGAAGGGGCCCAAAGAGCCCCTTCCCTTAAATGTAACATGGTAATGTGGTTTACCTCTCCTTTACAAGGTTAAATATAAAGTTTGTACACAAACAAATTGGAGATAATGGCAAGCAAGTGGTTTTCAGAGCCCTGGATGAAGGGGACACAGAGGTTCTGGGGATCTGAGCAAGGCTTGGCCTTGCTTTCCAAGGCTTGGTGAGGGAAGAGCTTGTTTAAAATGTAACACAGGATGGTAATATAATGATTATTATAGGCTGTATGTAAATGCTGTAGGATTTGTATCTTGGACTAGATTGGTTAGTGAGAATTAGAATATTCAGCAGAGAAGAAGATTTTTTGTGTTGTAATGGGAACTTCACTCTCTTTTTTCCTCTTGCTTTTATCCTTCTCTCTTTCTTTGGGGCTGCTCTGAGCTGTGGCTGGCAGCTCCCAGCAGGGCCCTGCACCCAGGCCCTTTGCAGTAAATGCAGTTTCCATTGGCTTCAGAGATCTCTCATCTCCGTCCATCCCAACTGTGTCCTACCCCTACAGAGAATGGTGGTGCCTCCATTTTTCTCTGAGCATGCCAGAGCTCACCTTCACCTGCTCTGCCTTCCAGGTACGTGCCCTGGAACCTGCATGAAAAGGAAAGAGGCAAATTTGACTTCAGTAAAAACCTGGACCTGAGGTATGTGGCACAGACAGCTCTGTTATTATTAAATACTCCTCTTTGGAGGGGAGGGGGTGTGTGGTGTTGGGGTGAAGATGTTATTTCCACATGTGCCTTGATCAGGCAGTGGGGACTCCTTCCTTCCCCTTCCTCATCCTTCTGGAGTTCTGGGAACGTAATCAATTGAGCACCAATCTGTGGAGTTTGCTGGGATCTCCAGGACGAGGGAAAAGATAAATCTGACTCCATGTTTTCAGAAGGCTTATATTACATTATATTATATTACATTATATTACATTATATTACATTATATTATATTACATTATATTATATTACGTTATATTACATTATATTACATTACATTATATTACATTATATTACATTACATTATATTATATTATATATGCTATACTAAACTATACTAAAGAATACAGAAAAAGGATACAGACAGAAGGCTTAACAAGAGCTGCACAGTGATTGGTCAATAAGTAAAAACAATTCACATTAAACCAATCAAACAAGCACCTGTTGGTAAACAATCTCCAGACTACACTGCAAAGCAGCAAAACAGGGAGAAGCAATCAGATAATTATTACTTACATTTTTCTCTGAGGCTTCTCAACTTCCCAGGAGAAGAAATCCTGGCGAAGGGATTTTCCAGAAAATATCACAGTGACACCAATCCACTGTGGTTATTTCATCAGGCAATTCCCTTCTGCTTTGGTACCTAAATTCAATGATTTTGGAGTATTAGGGGTGAGGGTTCTGCAGGCAGACAATAATTTCCCTGTCTGGATCCCCAGGGCCTTCCTTTCCCTGGCAGCTAAAAATGGGCTGTGGGTGATTCTGCGCCCTGGACCTTACATCTGCTCAGAGTGGGACCTCGGGGGTCTGCCCAGGTGAGTGTGGAAATTATTCACTGCAGGGAAACACCAGGGACAAACAAATCCCAAGCTCTTGATCACAGCATCAGGGACAAACAAATCCCAAACTCCTGATCACAACATCAGGGACAAAAAAACCCCAAGCTCCTTAATGGTAGTGGACTTCCCTGGTCTTGGGGGTTGTGTGAAGAGATGAAGATCTTTACTCCATGTTTCAGAAGGCTGATTTATTATTATATTTATTATATTAAAAGAAAATTATATACTAAAAGAATAGAAGAAAGGATTTCATTAGAAGGCTTGAAAGGAATGGAATGATAATAAAATCTTGTGACTGCTCACAGCCCCGACACAGGTGGCTGTCTTTGGTCATCAAGTAAAAACAATTCACATGCTGGGGAAACAATTCTCCAAATCATATTTCAAAGCAGCAAAACATGGAGAAGCTGAAACTTCCCAGCTTCTCAGGAGAAAATATCCTAATGAAAGGATTTTTCATAAAATATGCCTGTGACACCCAATCACACAGTTGAGGCTCCTTCAAAGGAATTGCTTTGGAATGGCTGGCTGCTTGATGGGGATATTTATTTTCTGTGCTCCCAAAACAGAAATTATCTCATTATCTTATAGAGCTCTTCTAATTTTGTTTTTGAGTGTTTAAAATAATAATAATTGTTTTGTAGTATAATGGTTACAGCAAGAAAATAGAATTAGAGGAACCCATCTTGCAGTTGCACCTTGACTCTGCATAACATGGACAGGATTTGCAGCTTGGTGGAAGAATTTGCTCCATCTCAGCTCCATTTTAAAAGTCCTGCTAGAAATCTGCATTAAATGGCTGGCAGGAATGAAACCCCACAGCTTTCCCAGCCTCCTGTGGTGTTTTTCCCTGAAGAACCCAGCAGGAGGAGGCTCTGGGAGCCCTGGGACCTTCCTGGTTCCTGAGTGCAGCCAGTGCCAGGTTACCACTTGTTTTCCTTACTGCACACAGCACAAACCTCAGTGCAGATACTTGGGGGTTATTTTTTTTTGACTTTTCACTTTTCACCTGCCTTTGGCATCAGAGTTGAGGTGTCAGGGACTTACTCCAGACAGCAGAGCTCCTCATGACCAGAGCCAGAAGCCACCTCCAGGTTAGATTATGAGAAGTGCATCTGTTGTCAGTTGTTGTCACATCACCCATGTGGTTTTTAATCAGACACATAAAAATTCTAATGAAGAGCAACTGTACTATTCTCATTTTCCAACTGAAGAGGAGATGATTTTTATAAGTCCACAAAGCCACATTTAGCAAAGAGTTGAATATTCAGATCTTTGGAAAGATGTTAATTAAGGCCTTATTTTGCTGAGAAAAGGAAGATACAGGCTCATTCCCCTTAAATTGTTACAGCATTATATTGTTCTGCTATTCAACAAATTGCCCTTTTTCCTGTTAACTCCAAACAGAATCAGCAGTAAATCAGCAGTAGAAACAGTGGGAACAATTACAGCAATCTTTTATTTGAGAAAGGCTTGGGATTTTTTGAGGGAGCTCTTGGTTGCAGAGTGCCCTTGGGAATGCAGGGAATTCACTTCAGAGTGAGAAGATTATATTATTGGTAGAGGTGATGAAATGAGTTGAAATATTATTGGTAGAGGTGATGAAATGAGATTGGGGCTGAAATGCAGGACAAAAAGAAGAGGAGGAGATTGGAAATTGGAGCTTGGATTTATTTCCAAGTGAGAGATGGACACGAGGTGTCCTCGTGGGCTCTGAGGTGACACCAGTGATCCCTGCCCAGGTGGGACTTGATGCCAGTGGCTGAAACACCTCTGCCTGACTGCACAGGAGTGTCTAACACATCTCCTCTGCTGCTTTTGCCCAGCTGGCTGCTGCAGGACCCTGAGATGAAGCTGAGGACGACCTACAAGGGCTTCACAGAGGCTGTGGACGCCTACTTTGACCGCCTGATGCGCGTGGTTGTCCCTTTCCAGGCAAGCCCCATCCTGTCCCTGTCCCTGGCAGTGGCTGCACAGGGCACTGTGGGCTCTGTGTGACAGCTGAGGGTCAGGCAATAACCAAAAACTGCCACAAAAATGCACCAGGAATCAGCACAGGCTGTTTTCTCTGTCAGTGTGGGAGCATGGGAGGGTGGAGCTGGGTCCTTCTCATGCTGGTGCATCTTTCCTACCAGCTAGTGGGATTTTTGGTGGTTAGAAATCATGGTGAACACCTTCCTTCTCCCTTTTTGTCCCCCACAGTACAAGAAAGGAGGTCCCATTGTTGCAGTGCAGGTGGAGAATGCTCCCACTCTGTCAGTGTGGGAGCATGGGAGGGTGGAGCTGGGTCCTTTTGATGTTCGTGCATCTTTCCTGCCAGCTAGTGGGATTTTTGGTGGTTAGAAAACATGATGAACACCTTCCTCTTCTCTCTTTTTGTCCCCCACAGTACAAGAAAAGAGGTCCCATTGTTGCAGTGCAGGTGGAGAATGCTCCCACTCTGTCAGTGCTCAGGAATGCCCCCACTCTGTGGGAGCATGGGAGGGTGGAGCTGGGTCCTTCTGATGCTGGTGCATCTTTCCTACCAGCTAGTGGGATTTTTGGTGGTTAGAAATCATGGTGAACACCTTCCTCTTCTCCCTTTTTGTCCCCCACAGTACAAGAAAGGAGGTCCCATCATTGCAGTGCAGGTGGAGAATGAATATGGTTCCTTTCCTAAGAAAGACCCAAACTACATGAACTATGTCAAAATGGTAATGGTGGCACTTGTACTTNAATTGCTTTTGTGGGGTGTTTTACCAGGAGCAAGAACCTCTTGTACCTAGCTCGGGTTTTCTCTGTAAAGAGTTTTGGTTTTTTGCCTTTTAATAAAACTTTTCTGTTTCCAACACTACCACAGAAGCCATCCTGCTGATTTTATGCCTTTTAAAATAGCTGAGCTATCTTAGGTGTGATATAAATCTCCAAGATCTTATAAGACCTGGCTGAAAGAGACCATAAATCACTGGGAATGGCTGGACAATCAGTGGGATTTTTATCTGGAGGCAGTGAATTTCTAACCTGGCTTCCTTTTGCAGGTATTACCCCTGCCTGCTGCCGGCTGTTTCAGAGCCCTGTGAGAATGCTCTGCTACTCAGGTACCCTGTGAGCTTGTCAGCCAGCCCTGCAGTGCCCTGCCAACCTTAGTTCAGCTCCTTTTAGTGCCCCTGGCCTGTCAGAGGACAGGCAGGCTGTGGTTAGCAATCCCTGTGAGCCACGAGCTCTGAGCATCCTCACCCTCTGCTAACAAGTGCTTCTCATGTAGCCCAGGCAGCAGTCTGAGGTGTTCCTCTCCTCTCTCACTGTGATTTCCTCCCAAATGTGCTGGTCATTGCTGCTTTCTGGAGCTGGGAATTGATTGCTCCCATCTGGCTCTGATAAGGAACAAGCTGCCATTGTGTGATCTCTGTGTGTTCATGGGGTGGGCTGAGGGAGGCAGTGACAGTGCTCTGCTAAAAACAGACACTGGCTTGTTGCTGAAATGGGGTTTGGGTTCAGCCCAAGTGAGCCCTGGTTAGTGCAGGAGCTGACCTGAGAGGAGCAGTGGCAGCAGGAGGGATCACCCTGGTGAGTGCTGAGGAGCTGCTGGCCCCTGCCTCTGGTTCTTCTGGCAAATAACATTTTCAGGATTAGCACAAACAGTGATGTGGGCAGAGGTAAGTTTGTGGTGACAGCTGATTTAGTCTCTCCTGGGTGATGAATCTAATCCAGGGGTTCATTAACCTGAGGAAAAGGTTCTCTGTTCACAGGGAGCAGGTGAGGGGGGTTATTTTTTCCATGTTTTGTGTTGGAAGGTACCAGAGTCCCCAAGAGATTTCGGCTGGCAATGATGAGATGCAGCTCCTGTTGGAACATGGGTCTGGAAATCTGCCATGTGCCCTCCTACTGCAAAGGGAGATGTTGGATTCCATAGGTTAGGGAAGTGTTTGTGAGTATTGTGAGTGAAACCTTGCCCATCCATGATTTCAGCAAGTGAGTTTCATGCTCTGAGCCTGAGCAGTGTCAGCTGTAGAGCTTTGCTTGGGGGTTCAGGGGGGAAGCAGGCAGTGAAATGGATTTAAATCTATATTTGGGAAGATCCCCCAACTAGCTTAGAGCCTTCTGAACCATCTCTGTGCTCTGTAGGAACAAGAGTGTGGCTTACTTGAGAAGCAGGAAGGTCAGAGCTGGTCTCAAGCTGCACCAAGAGAAATACAGGTTGGATATCAGGAAAAAGTGATAAAGTTCTGGAATGTTCTGCCCGGGGAAGTGGTGGAGTCACCATCCCTGGGTGTGTTTAACAAAGCCTGGATGTGGCACTGGGTGCCAGGGGTTAGTTGAGCTCTTGGGGCTGGGTTGGACTCGATGATCATTAAAGTCTCTTCCTGTTGCAGAGAGAGGGAGGAAAGGGCCAGGAGAGGTTTGGTCTCCCTGGCAAAGCTTAACACAGATTCAAAGTGGGCACAGAATAAGACTTGGGCCAATGAGATTACAGATCCATGATACTTCAGGGGAGGGTCACAGGCTTGGAATAAACCCTACATTTTTGAGAGGTGAGGCAGAGCAAAAAAAAAAATGTAACACCACGTCTTCCAACCTTGTGCTTGCGTGCTGGGTGAGGTGCAACGAGTGGGACACATTCCTCCCCCAGCACTGGCTGCTCACCCATCTCCTTTTCTCTTGCAGGTTTAACTGGAGCGAGCTGAACCCTCTGAGGCTGTGGGGGAGGAACCATGGCCTGCAGACAGAGAACTCCGAGTTCCTGCTGGAGGGGATGCCCTTCCGCATCCTGGGGGGCTCCATGCACTACTTCCGAGTGCCCCGCGAGTACTGGGAGGATCGCATGCTCAAAATGAGAGCCTGCGGCCTCAACACCCTCACCACGTGAGTGTTGCAGGGACTTGTCAGGGTTCTGTTATGACTATATTAAAAGGAATAGAGAGAGAAGTTGCAGAAACTTGCTAAGTTAAGGATAGAATAGGAAT